GCTTTTGCTGCTTCAGGTATCTCTCCTCTCCGGCTGGAGGTTTCTCCCTTAGAGCATTTTAAGGGAGATTTATGGTCTTGCCTCTAGTTTTGAATAATCAAAATTGACTTTTGAAGAGATAGGATCTCACTTTGTTGTCCAGCTGGCCCTGAACCCTGTCTCCCAAGTAATGGAACTACAGCTGGATGCCACCACGTGCAGGGGTATAATTAATTTCTGCATGTGTTCCGAAATTTTTAAATTTCATTAAAAAAATATAAGCAATCATTGCGGTAGCCCTGTATAAGAAAGATTATTTCTCTACCACTTTGAGCCACTACTCTTATTATGAGGGTCCGCATTTGCAAGGGCTGCTGCTGGGCTTTCTATATTTGTGTTGTTTATTTATTTGTCTATCCTGCTATCACTGCCACACTTTCTGGATGAATAGAGTTTTATAATACTGTAGGGCAAGTTCTCTTATTCATCTTCAAAGAGTGTCTTGACTATTTTTGGCTTTTGGAATCATCTTGTCACATTACAAACACACACAGATTCACACGGCCCAAACTATCCCAAAGTATAACGAGAAACACAAAATGACTAGCTGACATTTTATCATGTCTCACTATACATAAAAGCAGTTTGAAAGGAACATTTTTATATCATTGGCTCTCTGAGTCTCTGAACATGGTATATGTCATCATTTATTTCGGTTTCTAAAATTGTTACTTAATTAAGTTTTATTATTTTCCCCATAGAGATATCTCTATTACCGGAAACTAGACAAAAATTGTCACTGATATGCCCCACCTTTTCTATGGGTTGCATTAGCCTCACTAAACTCTTAGTAATTAATCATTTGTCAATAATAATAGTTGGTTATTTTCTTTTTCAATTCTCACGACTTTATTTCTTCATCTTGATTTCATTGGCTAAGATTTCTAGAAAAATAGTAAATAGCAGAGGTGAGAGCAAAATAGCCTTATCTTGTTTTTCTCACAGAAGGAATTCCTTAAACACTTGACTTACAATTTATGTTTTATAGAAGTATTTTAAAATGCAGTGAGGAACTTCCTTCCTGTATTGACTTTTCTGAGATTTTTAGAATTCTAAGAATTTTATTAAATGCTTCTCTGCATTTTCTGTATGTGTCTAAAATAAACAATTTGTTCGTAATTAGTGATTCTTTTTATGAATTTGGTCTGCTAATATTTTGTTGAGGATTTTTCTATCTACAATCATGAGGAAAATTGGCCTGTAAATGTCATCATTCATACTATTCTTGTCAGGTTTAATGTCAAGACTCTATGATCCTTATAAAACGAGTGGGGATTGTTATTACTTCTATTTTGAGAAAAACTTTATTAGGCGTCTTTCTTTCTTTCTTGAACTTATCAATGAAGTTATCTGGATCTAAAATTTTCTTTGTGGGGCATAATTAATTAACTAATTTTTTTGTGTTATTGGGGTTTGAACCCAGGACCTTGAGCTTACTAGGCAAGGGCACTGCCACCTGAACCACACTCTCAGCCCTTTTATTTTATATTTTGTTTTTGAGACAGGGTATTGCTACCTTTGCCAGACTGACCTTGACTTCCCAATCCTCCACCTGCCTCCACCTGCCAAGTAGCTGGAATTGCAGGCAAACACTACCACACCCAACTTTCTGTAGGTCAAATTGTCATTATTGAAGAAAATTTTACCTATATTTGTAGAATTAATACAATTGCTTATTTTTTTTTCAGCAAAATTTTTCTAACTATTTTGTTCTAGGAACCTTTTCATTAATTTAATTTTTCACATCTACCAGCATACGGCTATTCACATTATTCCTTATGAGCTGCCTAACTTCTCACATCTGCTGACGTCCACTTGTTCAGTCCTGATGTTGGTTTTTGGTCCTTGTCACTTGCTGTCTAGCACATTCTCATTAGAGGTTTGGAACATATTTTCATTGTTTCCAACAATCAATTGTAGCCTTCTTAATCTCTGTTATCTTACTATTTCCTACTTTAATAATTTTGTTCTTTATTACACAACTTTGAGTTTTTGTTCCTTTCATGATTTTTGTTTAATTCTACATAATGTTTGTACATATTTAAGGGTTATAGTAAGGTAACTGAATGCCATACAGCCAAGATTTGCAAGTGGCTGCATGGCTCTATGACAAAGGAAAGGTTACTCCAACCAGCCTTCAAAGAAAAACTGCTAGAAACATAAGTGTTGGATGGTTCCATCTCTCCTTAAATAAAAACACACATATTATATCTTAACAAAGAGAGGTGCTAAGCAACTTATGTAAAGGTTGGGAAACCTATGCCTTTTATACTTCTCAAATGTCAGTATCAAATCATACTTCTTGTAATATATTGTATGAACTGTGAAAAATTAAAGGTTCACAGATTCATGATTCAGAGAAAATCATAAATGATATATTTCCACTATTTTTAATATTTACACGCTTATAATAAATGTGTACAGGTGAATGTGTATACGTGTGTATGCATGTGTGTATACAGGTACACACAAGCTTGAACATGCACTGGGTCCTCAGTATAGATTCTGACTTATTTAATTTAATACAACATCACACATAATTTCCTGTGTTTTTAAAGATTCTTTAAAAATATTTTATTGTCTGCATAGTATACTATCATCTGAATATTCTCAAACTTATTTAACAACAACTCTACTGCTGAAAAGTTCAGTCAATTTCATATTCTTCCCGTTATGAATATCAGAAAATGAGTACATTTATATAAATTCTGACTCCTTTGTAAACAATTTCATTTACTTAGACTCTTGGAAGTAGAATTGGAAGATACTGCCAGTTAGGCTCTAAATATTCATTCTCTAATTCTTCTACTGGAAACCCCCCCAAATTTATCTTCCAGAATAGGAACTCATCTGTCAGCTTCTATTACCACTGGTCAGAGTCACGTGATAATGTTCTAGTCATAATGTTTTGGCCAGGAGAACTAAGGGTAAGGTGTGGCAACTTTCAGGTGATGCCCATAAAGACCCTTGTAATACTCCTTTCCTTTAGGCAGAGTGTGGACATGATTTCTGGGACACCAATTTTGGATATTCTAAAGCTCCAGGTGAAAGTCATATGCTCAGTGAACACAAGAGAAAAAAGAAAGGTCTCAGATCCCTCAAGATGGAGTAAGCATTGGTCCAGCCCTATCTATGTGGACATCACATAAGAGAATCCCAAAACTCTTATCATTTTTGAGCTGCCATTTTGGATTACTCAAAACCAAATATTTTCCAGAGTCAGAGTGGAAATGTTGCACACATTGCTTTGAAAATACTTGAGGGTCTTCACAGAGATGGCCAGGTCACTTCTTGCATCCCCCGGCCATACTAACAGAAGCCAGCTCCCCACCTTCCTGTGACTTTACACTCTGCCACTCTTTAGCTGGTTCTCTAGAACTCGGGCATATCTTCACATTTCTGGTAGGAGCTCTTGCACTAAAGTCGTATTGCTCACAATGACTTGCCCTTCTATCTTGCTGTCTTTTAAATTAAAATGTTAGCTATCTTTCTTGTAATATATCACAGTTCTTTATGTTTGATGTCTGTCTTATTTATTGGAAGTCTCAGTTCCAGTTTGTCATGTGCCTTTTAATTTAATTTATACTAGTATTTTTATTGGTAAAACCATAGAAGTTTTATATGTCATTGCCATAATTCATTTGTGACTTATTCCACTTTTGTTGGGATAAAAGTTCATTATTCATTACGCCTTTCTTATATTATTTCATTTGTCTATAAATATATGGAGCATCATTTGTAAATATTTTAGTAATACTATTTAGGATTTTTGGGGGTATAGGTGGTGCTGGGGCTTGAATTCAGGGCCCCACACTTATCACACACATGCTCTACCACTTGAGTCATGCTCCAAGCCATTTTTTCCTTAGATATTTTTGGCTGGGGTCTTGTATTTTTGCTCCAGCGAGCATCAAATCACCATTTGCCTTCCTCTGCCTCTCGGTTGTTGGGATCATAAACACTTCCTAACACACCTGGCTTACTTTTTGAAATATGGTCTCAGGAACTTTTTCTCTGGGCTGGCTGCAAACTATTATACTCCCCATAGTCAACTCCTGAGTAACTGGGATTATAGGCATGACCACCATACTCCCACCTAAAATAATAATAACTATTATTATTGCCATTGCTGTTGATAGTACTGGGTTGAACTCAGGGCCCTAAGCTTGGTACTTTACTACGTGAATCATGCACCCAGCTATTTAGGATCTTGACAACTTATTCCCACAAACACTGTATCTTTAAGTGCTAAAGATATGTTATATACAACAGAACTCCTACCTCCAACCCATCACCCACTTGATGGCCAAAGGATTTTAATAGGACTTTCACCTCCAGGTCTGTGGCCAAATTTTCAGTGCCTGCTCCCAAGTGCATAACTTTTTTGAAAAGACAAGCCAGCATTTTATAAATGCATACACAGATAGATGCCCAAGAAATTTTTTTGCCAGCAAATTGGGAAATATTTGTTTGGCTTCAGTAATTTGCATTTTTGTATGTGTTTACAGAAACAGACCCTGAAATACTTAGTCTATGGGAATTTTTCTAAAATGTGTGACTGACCCATTGTGACCCAAAATATTTCTTCTGCAGAACAACAACAAAAAGTAGCAACAAATGTTTTATAAAACATTTTTCAGTAGAGGAAGAAGAAAAAGCTTTTGCAACTTCAAGAAAAGTATATCTCATTAAGAAAATTGAAAAGAAATGTCATATCATCTGCCAGTTTAGAGACATTACCTTCATAATGAGTCTCAAAATTATAATTACAAAGCCAGTTGTCATCTGAATATAAAAGACTGCATACTAGTACTACACTTGTATATGCACAAGATTCACATATTTTCACAAATAATATCAAATTAGAGAGACATGTAAACCTCCATTCTTGAGAAGTAGCAAATGTAGCAGTGGATTTCCAAAGGTGCGTATGTGTGTTTATAAATGTACCCTTTTCTTACCCAGTGCAGCACAATTCCCTGTTCAGCTTTCAGAATCTTGTAAACAGATTCAAACGGGAATCATGTCATCAGCAAGAGGAATCCTGAAAAGTAAAAGTAGACGATGAACGGGATTGTTTCATTCACAGCATCTCTCGTCACGTTGCTCCTGGAAGTAGGAGTCCTCGATGGCTTTCAAAAATAAATTCATGTTTACATAGGTAAATCTGTACTTTCATACTTCTTTACATATATGAGTATAATGAAATATGGTTGATGAAGGAATAGGCATTATCTTGCCTTTATGAAGTCACCAGAATTAATCTAGAAACGTCTATGTACATGGTGTATACACACATGGTCATCTCCTCAGAAGGTGTCCTTTTACTATAATTTCCATGAATGTGTACTGCAGAGGTTTGGGACAGGCTGTACTAAGGTGGATTCTTGTTTCTTGTCATTATTTATGGAAGTCTTCTGGTGTTTTCTTTGTTCCCCTTTAGGATTCCACTCAAGTATAGGACAGGAACAGGTGACACAGTGATTGTCCTGCTATGAACTAGGGGACTGATTTACTGCCTGATGCTGTTCTTACACCATCTTGATGGAATAAAACTCTGGACAGTCAACTGATATTCTCAACAACCAGACTTAGGAAAACAGGCCCCATACATGGGGGTCCTGGCCTCTCCAAGGTCAGTTCAATTTAGAGAGAACTGAGTGATGGCCCAGTGTTCATTTCTGTAACCACAGATTGATATGTTTTAATCACAAGATTTACGGTATTTGAGTAGTTTCATCACCATACTTTATCTTCCTGGAACTTGACTGGGACAGAGGGATTTTATTTCATTCCAATATCCCAATACTTTTGTCTAAAAAGCACAGAGAGCCAAAAGTCACCAAGATGACAAAGAGAATAATTCACATAATTTCATTAGTTTCCTAATTACTCCATTAGAAAGTAATCTAAAATGAAAAAGGTTATCATTAAAAACATTGAACATCAGGAATTACACTACAAGAATAAAACAGAGGCTGTAGACATGTAGTCAGCAAAGGTAAAAAAAAAAATCTCAAAAACTCAACTTTTGTTTAATTCAGTGAAATATCACAAATGTAAGTAAACTACCATAGTTGAATTTACTTAAAAATAAAACAAGTTGTGTCACATCATGTATCTGAATGACACAGAAAGAAATTCAAAGGTGGTCACTTTACCCACAAGAGGGAGCCTGTATTTTTACATTTTTGTTACAGAACTTGAACAACAAATTAAAACCTGAAATTCTAAATATGTTTATTAATACCAGCCTCTTTAGGTCAGGTCAAGTTTTGAGATAATCAGGTTTCATTTGCATATTTTTCTTCAACTGTGACATATTAGTACGTCAAAAGATTAGAAAGTTAATTGAAAATTTAAAAAATCCTACCTATATTAATTAACTTTTTTTTCAGATATAAGAATAAAAAATGAATCACCAAGGCAGCCTAAGAGAGAATTCCTTTTAGGTGGTAGTGACATTACTTGTGTAAAATTAACTAGCATTATTATGAGTGCTATGAACCCAAATTTAATTACATAGCAGGAAATATTTCATTCACTCTCTTCAAACAGAGGCTCAGAAAAACCAATAATTTTCTATGTATTTGTTGGGACAGGAAACACTGCACTTTTAAAACTAGCAAGATCACCAGTCTTACTGATACCACTTAAAACTTGCCTAAGAAAAGTTGTAACTGGCATGACACCATGGTGAACTTTTCCTTTCTTAGGGTTGAGAAAGAACTATCTTTTTCTTTAAAAAAAAGAAAATGTGAAGGTCAATTCTTTCCTATCTTATAATCTCCTCGACATTATCTTAAGTTACTCAGGCTCTCTAAATAAATAGATATGCTCTGCTCTGGGTCTTTAAAAAACAAAGTGAATTCATCAACTTAAAACTATCCTCTTTAGGCAAGAGGAAAGGTACTACAGTCCTTTGCCACCTGCCATCATTTTCTCCCCTTTTTATGGTATCCTAATAAATCTTTGCTTCCTCTAAAACAAACAAACAAACAAAAAGAAACAAAACTATCTTCTTTAAAAATATAACCTTCTAAAAATTAATGTGGGTAATTCTTATCAACCCAGAGTGAACTGTTCTGTTACACTCAGAGATACAGTACGTAATAACTGAGCTCAGATTTGTTTTGCGACCCCTTGTACACCGCAGGGAAGATGGCAGAAGGTGCTATCTACCATGGCTGGAGTTGAGGCATAAGGGGTTAATCACTGTTGGTCTTCCTCCTGGAATTCCAAGCTATCATTAAATCATTGTTTCTTCCTCCCTCTAGGGATGGTGAATATAATGGACCTGAAATCAATACCTTATAAATGACATAAAATATATTCATTTCATGGACTAATGTACCCTAGTGTCCGAATCCTATTTGTACCCTCTGCTTTAAAAGGGAACAATGGATCCATTTCTGCCAGTAAATGGTTACTCAGTCACACCGGTGACATGCTGCAGTACGCACTGCTATTCGCCATTGCAGCAGAAACTCTAGACACAATGGATGCAGTGAACTTGTGTGAGGAAATGCCACCATGGAGGAACTTGTGGATGGCCTCAAAGATGGCCCCCAGGTCTCTGGTCCATCATGTGAACTTACAACTTAACACGTATCACACACAGATTTGAACATATCAATATCACATTGTAGTATTTAAACAGACACAACCTCCATTTCACAGTGAATTCTATAATGATTTTAAGAACTGGGCTAAACAAATCCCATGAAGCACAAAGACATGTTAGCTAAATGGACATAAGGCTAGATCAACTCGAATTAATCCAGAGGCAGAGGCGAGCTCTGGGGAGAAGAAGAGCATTTCATTGATCAGGTACAGCAGGGAAACGACCAAAACCAAAGGTGAATATTTGCTGTTCCGTTTTGTTTTTTACATGTTGAGAAAACACATTGGTGAAAAAGTTTTATATTTACAGAATATTCTTCAATCCAAAGGATCCACGTACTTCAAAACTTTTATCACGTGGAACCAAGTATTACACTTAGTTAAAAGAAAAAACTCAACTTATGCTAGTAACTAACTTTATTTTGAAAATATTTTCTTCTACCTTTAATATTTTTGAGACATTAAATACACAGCAACCCTGAAAAATGCAATGATCTCTTCAATACAAAGATAAAATTATAGCAGAGGTAGAAAGAAAAAGAGAGAGAGAGGGAGAGAGAGAGAAATATAGAAAGGGAATATCACCCAGTTTTTTCTTTATTCAGTGGGTACAAATCTAACTAGTCAGAGAATAATGAATGAGAAAAGCAGACACTTTTTGAGAGATTTCTAGCAACAGGTCAGCCTGAGATTTTCTGTTCACTTTTACTGGCCTAAAATCCATACAGTTATAAAATTACAAAACAACAACAAAAACTGTTTTTCTTGATTCCATTTGCAGCCAGCATCATTTGTCCCCTATTAGATAAAGTACAATAGACTCGGCCGACAGGGTTGGTGGCCCTCTATTTAATGGTGTTGCCAGTCCCAATCTGCATTTCCCCAGCACTGTCTCTCAGCACAGAATAAATGGCTGATCTCCTCACAATAACAGCTGATTTCTATTTATTAAGCTAAAAAGGTCACCATTTTCTACGGCTGGGCCGCCCTGCACTATTGATAATTTTATGCATAAACAAATGGCAAATTTGTGCCACATAAATATGCATTAGCAATTACTTTTTCCTCGGGCAACGCTCACCGCATGCAAATGCGTACCTCACAGGGCCTGGTAGCTTTTGTTTTAGCTCTTGAACAGTGAAACAAAAGAGCACAATAAACAATTTTAAAATTGCCAATCAATAAGCAATGCAAATGCAAGGTAAATGGCAAGAAACTTGCTCAGAAGAGTGGGGAGGGGACGGTGGAAGGACCTTTTTCAGATCATTTCACTTCTTTCTTGGTCATAATGAAAAGACAAAAGTACTCTTGACACAGAGCTAGCAAAGCTGGTACTGAGCAGATACCAGATGGGAAAAGTGGAAAACACACACATGTTGAGTAAACATGTGCCCACCCCCAAAGATGGGGGCAAGGGAACAACTCCTTCCCTACCTGGGGTTGCAGAGTATCTATCACCTCCTCAGATTTCTGATTTCCTGCTTCAAGGAATCTTAAAACTAGGAGGAGCTACCGAACCCACTCCCAGTTCACTGCACTAGGCTGATTTCTTCTAAAGACATCTTTCTGGACAAAGAGGACTGTACTGTGTCAATAAATAGAATAGTTTTAGAAACATGAGGAAAAGGGCAAGTGAGGGATATTTAAGTAAGAAAAATTCCCCAAAACATTCAGGAATAAAATGCTCTGAAAGCAATTCAAGAATAATATCAGGGCACAAGAATGGAGCTGAAGGATAAGGAAGGAAGAGGCAACAGGTGTCAAGAGAGCCTTAGAAACAAGGGCTGGTGGTGGCTCAAGTGCTAGAGTACCTGCCTAGCAAGCAAGCACGAGAACATGAGTTCAAAGCCCAATACCACATACTCACACACACACAGAGTATTAAGATAAGCCTAGAAACAAAATGTCACCTAATTTGAACAGGAAACAAACAACTCAAAAAAAAGCTTATTGCTTCATCAGTAGGAAACATTAGCAGATATCTTATAATACTATTTTCCCAAAACAGTTCTCAGTCCTTCACTCTTAGATCCATCATGGCACCTTCACAAACTTCCCTAGGAGGACCTTTACTGCTGATCACAGAATGAAGACACCAGTCAGCAAAGGCAATGCTAGGTCCTGGCCTTTTACCCCGTGGGAGGCCAGCACTGCAAAGTGTGGCCACTTCTAATACTGCCATCCCCTAAAACCCTACAAGCCCACCCATGTTGCCCCAGATGAAAAATCTCTTCTTAAAAATGTGTGTTGATGGCTTTACCTTTGCATAAAGAAGCCAAACTGTATTTGAAAAATCTAAACTTGGGGCTTTTGCAAGTTTCTTTAATCAAGTTATTTTTTATAAAATATACAAATACCAATTTGGATAGTAGGGTGGATGTTCGTTAGTGAATGAATACATGCCCATTGATAATGGTCTTG